GGTTTTGTTTGTCTTCCCACTATGATTTCCTGTTGACATATACATGAATTACCATTACCATTGTTACTTTCCTTGATATAATCTATTGGTACAATTGGATTCTATTTCACTTGTATTATTCATGATCTTCTAAATTTGTACTGGGGTTACCTGTCATGGGCTTACTAGGAAATCAGCCCTTGTCAGTTGAAAGGACTACCCATATGTACATGTATGCAAGATTGGTAAATAAGTAACAAAAAAAGTGTACCATATATTACTTTGAGTTTTCATATTACATTTGTAGAGTCAGGAAAAGAAACTGTAGAAACAGGACAGGTGTGTCATGATGATGTAACTCTCACCTTGCACCATTCCAGTTGTGCTGATATGGTGAAGGGACTTGTGTGTTCTTGGGAGGGTTCTGCAGCGGAAAAAGAAAGACAATCCATTAGAGATCACAGAATCTACTTCACAGCCTCCTCAATTGTGTTGCAAGAGTTTTTGTGAATTTTTTGTTTTATTTGTTATTGTGAATTTCTCTATCCACATTTTCCTACTGGCACCTAGGCAACTTCCTGTGTTTGCAGTTAGGGATTCCCCCACCCACATGCTGTTACTTAACTGTACAAATGAACAAAAGCTAACAAAAGCACCCCACGCCCCCACATACACACAAACGTGCAGCGAATGCACCCAAATCACTCTGTTTTGATGGAGGTACAAGGGAATCAGAGATAGTGCACTTAACCCCCTCTGGCAGAAAATATAGTAACTGCAGTGCAGACACATACACACATGTACACACAAACAATCCAAGAACAATACCTCACTCATTTGGGGTGATGTAATGACAGTAAACAAGGGACGTTTGCAATAAAGAGAATCCCTTACCTTAAAGTGGTCAGTCAGAGCCTTGGAGTACTTCATGGCATAGTCTTTCTTCAGCTTGAAGAGTTTCATGTACAAAAGGGACTGACATCTCAGGCTGGAAAAAAGAATGGTAAGGTTTAGTACATCCTGCTTCAGCCTGTCTTCATTGCTTCATCAGGTGGATAGGAAAATAAGACTGGTGGTTGTTTTAGTTCCCACTGGGTGCAGTTAAGTCTTTATCATTATAACAGAGTGTGAATCAAACTATGGCACAATGTCCTGAGAAGAAATCAGGGTATGCTCCCTCGAGAAAATTTTGAAATCTTGACCCTCTGAAGTGCTATTTGCTGCATTTTGAGGGGCAAATTTTGAGGGTAGACTAAGCTTAGTTTAGAGGAGTGGGGTCTGTGTCAAAGATATTTGTCCATCATAAGTGGCAAAATTCTGTCAAAAGATGGACGCTGGCTACAACACTGGATTGCGATGTCTTAAGGCACAACACAGGGAAGCCTACTTGTACTTGGACAGGCCTACCACCAAGTCACCTGTGTATTAACCCAACTCCTCTGTGTTTACATTCCTCCCCCCTCCCCCCTCCAGGAAAAATAAACAAATTAGTCCTGCCAGATCAGCATCGCCCAAGGTCAACACAGGGGTGACTTCCTGTCTGGGGCCTGAAGGTCATCACTGTTCCCTTGTGGTACAATCTGTGACATCACACACAACCCAGGTCATTCAGGTCAGTCTACACCAATCACATTTCTTCATTCTTTGATCTAAAAAATACTGCTAAATGTTAGGAAAACCAAGGTGAGAACAGAGACTGAGATAGAGTTTTCCTGCCAGTCCTCTGTTTTTATGTTCTCCTCTTGCACCCAAAGCAATTTCAGGACAATAAAGCTGGAAGTCAATTCATAACGCCGTAATCAATAGAAAATTGGCAGTCTAACAGCTACCTCAGTATGGATAAAATGCTTCTTGAGAAGCAATGAAATAACTTGGTGAAGCCAGAAAGAGTTCATGAATGGAGGTCCTCTGTCCTGAGTGTTTTGCAGAAAAAGCTCTCTATCACTAAGGCCTTGTACTGTATCTATTGCCAACATCTTAGTGTTGCTACAACACAGACACAACCCAGGAATGTTCAATGTCAACTTCACAGGAAACTAATCTCCTACCTTCCTGCTACCATCTGATAAAGGAATAAATTTAGATGGGACTTTGACCTCTAAGTAATCAATACCAGCCCAGGGAACCCTCTCCTTCCAACAAGAAGAACCGGATTCTAAACAGGCGCTGACACCCTAATACCTTTGTTGACCATCCAATAAGCTCCTATCCCATCTATCAATTGTCAATAACCCCCTCTAAGGCCTTTGGGAGCAAAGGTCAACCACTGAAGGGCCTGCAGGAGGGATCAATTTGACCTTACTGAGTGGATTTCTTACCTCCCTGTAAATTTCATTGAGTTCTAAGTCTCCCAAAAGTGCCTTTCTACCTGGACTCATTTAGCTAAATCACAACACAGAGTTGCCAAAGTCCCCTCTGGACAGTTTTAAAAGAGCCAGATGTTCTACAAAACCCCACATGTAATAAATGACGAGGTGACCTTGAGGTTAGAGGTCGCTGCACTTGGAACAGTGTAGAGGTTTTTAGGCTCTGACCCTTTGAGTGACAACAAGGTGCCCCCTTACAGACTCATCACCCAATATTCAGGGTAGGTTTCCTTCTTCTTTTGTCATACTAGTATATAACTGAGGTGAAGCATCGTTTTTCAGTGCGATTCAGCTTTAAATTGCTAATAGCTGCTGTACGGTATTTAAGCCATGAGGGCACACCGGGTCAGCAAAACTCTTCTCAATAAGTGTGTTGGGTTCTTTTATGTGGAGCGGTTTGATGCCTGAATCTCTGTCATACACAGGTTGCTGGCTTTCATCCGAAATTATAACGAATGCAATCCCTCAACATGTCAGAGCTGAGGACAACCCTTTCATCCATATGGCATAGTGGTGGGATCGCTCATACCACTTACATGTATGCCGCAGGGTTATGTTCCAAAAGAACAGTAAATAACAGGATCTGGGTAATGTGAAACATGTCTCAGAAGATGGGTCCTGTGGGTTGGTTAATGAGCACAATTGGTTGATCTACAGATGGCAGGTTGTGTTCAAAGTGAGGGAAGGTCAGGAAGCTAACATGGCAGCCTGGCACAACTGGAATTGATGAAGCAGGGAGCATCTACATCCTTAACCTTCTCCCTGCTGCCTAACCCTGGAACCAATACAAATTTGGTGCCAAAGGCTATTACAGCAGGGAAAAGGTTAAAAAGTAGGGTCTTCTTGCCTATTCATCTGAGTTTAGGTTGAAATAGTTTGTTAAGCTAGACCAGATGGAGGTAAACATTATGTACATGCTTCGTAAATTGTTACTTATCTAGTATTTCTGCAGCATTCTGTACTACACAAGAACTTGCCTAGAAAGTGTTAAGCACTTTTGCATGCTTGGACTGAAGAAGTTGACAGTGTTATTTCCTTACCACAGGACTGCTAGTTTCTTGTCTGAAGTGGTCTGGTCCTGACTCTGGTTGTGCATGTGGTGACTGTTGAACCTCAGGATAAACCTGGAACAACAAAACAACTTCTAAACACTGTACAAAACAAACAACATGATTGATAACAATGTGGTAATCAAGGAGCCTGAATTATAATTAAAAATGTAATAAGAATAACCTACAAGTGTTTCATTCAAATAACTTTAATACTCAGAAAATGATACTCATAAAATTATACAATGTCTACAAAATGTGGAAATAAGCAATGGGTTTGTATGCACATTTGCATAATCTTGAATGAATGAATGGATGAACGAAAGAATTGATGGATGAATAAATGAATTTGAAACCTCTAAGCTTAATACATCCAGCCTGAAATCATTAATTTTGGGGCATTTTGACTTTTTCTTTCTATATGTATGTCCAAAGTGGTTAACTCCCTATGTTTACAAACTACTACAACTACCCCCCTCCCCCAGAATGCTGTGTCACAGAACTTGCAGTTGAAGAACATGTCCCAGCAGACACCAGATATGTTTTACAACGTGCGGTGTGTACCTCCAATCCAAAGTGCTGCAGTCAAAAAGGTGCTTGAAAAACTTTTGACAGATTTTTCTGGGGAGGGGAGAGGGTATGAATGTGTGTTTTGTTAATGTGTCAGTGTGAAAAATCACATGTTAATGTGTAAAGTGTGAAACATTACATTTTATAAAACATTCAATTTTACAAAACCTTGAGAATGTGTCTTTGCATATTAAAGCCACACCAATTTCATTTGTTCATTCTTGGACTTTTAAAGAAAAAGCACTATTAAGCACTGAAAAAAATCTTATGATAGCTCCAAATGCTACAACAGGCTGGTTTTGTAATTCGAAAGATGAATTTCAAACTTTTAATGAAACCACTGCCACAACGGTAAAGACAAGGACTTTGCTCAACTGTTGAGGCCAAAATATGAGCATTTTGGAGTCAGAATTTTTTTTTCAAATCAGAAAAAAATAACACAGGTAACAATTGATAAAATTGGTGTGGCTGAAAAAGCTGAAACATGTGACTAGAGGTGGACAAGTTGAAAATTTGTGTAAGTGTAATTTTGGAGTTGGAAATTACAGTTCAAGCTTCTGAGACACACACTTACTTGATAAGGTCCACAGTCTCTAAGTACATGGTGGAGGGAGACTTGGACTCAGACAGGTGAGGGTCGCTCTCCATGGCGTTGCCACACTGGATAAAGTACAGCACAGCGTCCACGTACGTCAGCGTCTTCTGGTTCTTGTCCGCCTGAAGACGAGAACAAACTGGTCACGACTGGTTTCATCACTTCTCTACAAATTCTAGTCAGTCATACTTGCATCACTGGGTATTATAATCATGGATTTGATTCGGTCTAAAATAATCTTGTAACTTGTAGCAATGCTTTGTGTCCTCAATGATTTTTAACACTCCATGCTAATCAAATTTTTAGAAACACATGTATGTAGCAAGGTAAACAAGCCTCGCAATTCAGCCATTACAGCTGCAATGTGGCCTGCCTGTCGCTGTCGACACAAATATACTAATGTAATACAGTAACTACTAATACATGTGTTGTTGCTGATGCAAATACTGGCAACCTCGACCTAGCATTCTCTGTCTATATCCTGATACATGTACCTTGAAGTTCTGTGTTTTAGAGTCAACATATTTCCTTAACATGTTCCATGGAACACAAAGACTTACCAAGCCATCAGCAAGATGCTTGAGATTTTTGGCTTCTGTTAAGTAGTGATCTGCAGACAGAGGCCTGAGCAGGAGGAAACGGGATCCATCAGACACTTCTCTCAAGTTTATTCATTGCACCATATTAATTACTAATACTGATATTAATTAGTAACAGTCTGAATTGAGTTGTCATTTATACGGCCATTTGCAAGATATAATACGATCAAGACATTTACACATGTACACAGTATAGTTTAACATCCACAAATAGTTTTCGATTAACAAATGAAATTTAAGAACATTGATAAATAAGATGTACAACACAACCGAACAGAATATTTAATCATGATAAAGAACTTGGACTTCATAAATGCTGAAAAAATTAAGCCATGCCTTGACAGTTACTGTAGGTTTACTAAAGTTAAAACTGATTGGCATGTGTCAATGCATGATTAACATGTGGCATATCATTCAGGTATTATCAGATTAAGTACAGCTTTAAGCCCATACTACATCAGTACATGTACCTGAATAACATAACATGTGCCTGACATGTGATTAATAAGTGATCAATGCATGATTAACATGTGCTCATACTAACTGAATAATTTGTCAGTAACATGTGCCTAACATGTGATCAATGCATGACTAAGTGCATGATCAACATGTGATTAACCTGTGCCTTACCTGTCCTCCACATCTGTCTTGCTGTTGAAGTACGGAATGTCCCCTCGCGGGTCGTGTCTCTCCCAACTCTTGCCTCCCTGCTGACCGGACGCCAGCTCGCCCCACTGGCTCCCCGCCGCGTGCCCGTTCGTCGCCTTGGCAACGTGCTCCGCCGCGACGCCGTTCTGGCTGTGCTCGGGGACGAGGGGAGGCGCGTCCCAGTCCTGGCAACGGGAAGGCACTTGTTTTTTGGGTGTCTTCTTGCTTTTCTGTGGAGGGTGAATATGGTGGGCATGAGGGAGGGGACTGCCTAGGGGCAGTCTCTGGCATATATGCCCATGCAACCTGTCTGAATCTCAGTATCAACTGATCAACAATAACTGCCTTTTCGCCTAACACATCAGCTTTGACTCTCACATCTAAGACCTGATTTACATGCAAGCAAAAACCTGACGGTACGAAAACTGCCTCATGTGTACGAAAAATTTTTCCTGTGTGGAAATTTGCCTGCGTCAATAATGTATATGCAGATCATACGCCAGCCCTTGAGGTACATTGTACAACGTTAATTCTTGATGCAGCAGGGCAATTTATAAGAAGGAAAAATTTAACGTACACATATCGTTACTAGAAGATTCTTTTAACAGTGACTTGTCACTGTTGAAAGAATCTTCTACTAACCTTAACGTACACAGTTTTCATACATTCGTCTGCGTTGTAACATCAGGTTTTTGCATCAGTGTAAATCAGGTCAAAACTTATATCTAACCATAGTTGCTGATGTAATCTAATGCAAAGCCCCCTACTTTACTCTACTCTCAAGTTTCGGGCAAAAGACCCTTTAATCTCTGAATTCTGCCATTTGATACATGGCTGGCTATCTCTACGGTGGCTACACTGGGCGGTGTACTGTGTGTGTGTGTACATGTAGGTGCAGGGTGTGTGCAAAAGCATGGAACAAAAACATAAACATCAAATCATAAACAACACAAAAAGAAAACATATCAACCACTGAGCTATGCATGCCAGAGGTGGCATATGTCAATGACATTGAAGCATGCAAAGGACTTAGTTGAGATTAAGGTTACTATTGGCTTCTTTAAGTTTAACAGCATTACAGATGATACCATATTATTAACAAAAACAAATATCATAAATGAAAATGAAAACAACAATTTTAAGATCACTGAAAAAAAATCTGAGAGACCAGTATAAAGTCGTACCTTTTCCTTTTTCTTGCTGGATTCCTGTGAAGTTTGTCGCTCGACTTTCCGCCGTTTTCCGGAGCGGTCGGTCTTGGTGCTCTCTTCGCTCAGCCTGCTGGAGGTACTACTGACACTGGAGCGGCGTGCAGAGCCCCTACTGGAGAGGGGAGAACAAGCTACATGTAAGTACAACTTGTGGTGGCAGAAGGTACTATTTTCAGTCGTGTTTGTGTGTTCACCGCTGTAAGTCACGGTGACTGCTGTTCACTGTAGGGATGTCCTTAGTACGCTGTGTGGGACTAAAGGGCTATACCACGCTAATTTGAGAAAAAGGGTTTTTAAGCCTGTATTGTGTATTACAATTGTGATATCACCCATGTAGCAGTACTGGTAACATTGCTGCTAATGTGATTTCAGCAGTTGTTGTGAACATGAATAAATATGCATTATACATTATGTATGTCCTAGAGGTTCGAGATCTCATATTTCTATTTTTACAATGTACAGGTGACCAATATACCACGTCAAGTCCTGCAGAACTGATGATTTGACCTGAGGTTGGGCGGGTAAGGTCGGGGGTCGATTGATTCTGTGGGACTGGATCTACATGTAATCTATCTCTGCTCTCCCTGTCTATGGTGGGGTAGCAGGGCTTCAGATGTGTAATATGAACAGTTACTGTTCCACATACAGACAGTTCAGCAGAGATTCTTGGCAACCTTTCTACCTGGTATAGGGTAGATGTTCTCAACATGGAATGAATGATATCATTAATTTTAATTCATTACATTTTGTGCAGTTTCACAGCGAACGCGGTCATGTAAAACACACATCCATACAGGATATTAGTGACAATGCGCAAAAAAATTAAATGAACTTTATTGCTTGACAGTTATACAGGGGGAGGGTACAATGTATGGGGACAATGACACAACAATTGATACCATAAAACTTGTCTGTTCTAAAAACTATGACTACAAGAACATTGACCAGTGCATCAGTGCACCTGTTCACAGGAAAGTGAATTTGGAGCCCTGGATAGGAAGTCAGTGAGGCAGAGAGGAAGTCATTACCCAGTAGCCACTGATCACACCAGGAGAGCAGGCTGCCATCTGTAGTTTAAGGACTGTAATTATCTGCATGGGCGCTTTTCCTCCTCAGGGAGCTGGCTACTCCTTAATTGAACCTGGACTGTGAGGGACTTTGAATGATCCTTGGAGTGACCCGGGATCACTTGTAAAGTCCTCTCTACATCAAGTCGTCTTGATGGCTTTCTGGATGAAGATATGAACCTACGGACCTCCTTTAATGGGATTTGGCCTGAGATATTGGTGGGCTTCTGTGTACTTAATGAACTGTACAGCCAATATCGGCCAGGCTTGGGCCAATTGTCTGGGAAAACCTGTAGGCTTTTGGGAGGAGTAACCTACTGGGCAGATAACATCAGGGTCCTGGTTTGGGCTTTCCAGAGCTGTAATCCTGGGGGTTTAGGCTTGATGTGTGTGTTCCTGCACACTACATGCTGGCAGGTATTGCCACCATTCTGCCATCTGAGATCTAGACAAGTTTACTGCCAAAGCCTATAATAGCGTCTCAGACCAGTGGAATAGGAATCCCCAATTCCATAGGTCCGGTAGGATCTATGTTAGATCTGTAAAGAATGGCCCGTATCGTTACGGCTATAGACACAGCTATTCATGCTTTAAGGCATAAATCATCCTACAATCTTCAAACAGCACAGCTTCATATTTTCAACTTACCCTTTCTCTGAGTCTTGTCTACTGCTTGGCGGGGTTCTTGTTGGAGTAGTCCGGGTGGGGGTGGCCTGGGTGGGGGTTCTTGTGGGTGTGGGGAGGCTTCTTGTGGGGGTGCTGAGGCTGGTGGCAGGGGTGGGGAGTGTTCTCGTGGGGGTGGGGAGACTTCTGGTGGGGGTTGCTTTGGAATCTGTCGTCGTCTCCTTTTCTTTCTTTGGCCTCTTCGTTTGAACCTCCTCTGTCGTGCTGGCTCCAGCCGTATCCGCCTGGAAATATAACAACACACGGTGAATAAATAAACAAACAAAATACACTCGCAGTCAGATATTATACGATTTTCAGTGAGGCAATGACAAAACTGTCGTGCTGGCTCCAACTGTTATGTTAACTTATGTATCTGTCTGGAAATAAAACACAAGGTGAACAAGAGTATACAGGACACAAACCTCTGTGAAGCAATCATAGTGTTTGCAGTGTGCTGTATGAAAGCAACAAATGTGAACATAAGAGAAGAAGCTGTAAGATAATGGCTCCTAGTAGTGTGATTCAACTTCAACTCCTCATAATTCTCAGCTAGAGAAGTTGACCTACATGTAGAACATGTAAAATGAAATTGTCACAATTGTCTTAAGAGCCATGATATCAAAATTGTTTTCTTTTTCTTTGATTCTGCATTCCCATTAAAATCATGAAAAGAAAAATAGATACCATTTGCACTTTCAAGCAGTATAGTATATTCAAGATCAGTGCAGATTGAGGTAAATAATGATACAAACTGCCTCCACAAATTACAACATTTGTAGATACACGCCTGAGTTAAGATTACACTGCATGGAAACGGCAGCCTTACAAAATGAATCCACAGCCGTAATGTTACTCCTGGAAAATTGATATTTTTCCTACGCAGGTTGAATCTATTAATCAGACGACTGATTGGAGTGTAAAGTTGAAAGTTATGACACAATTACGGCGTGGAGGTTCTCCCGAGGGTCATCGAAACTCCCCCTGGTGTCAGGGAAGGAAATTACAGAGTTGATGAACGACTGCAAATCGCTGTAAATCACATGGAGAAGTGTTTGAGGCTTACCCTAATGTTAATCACAGCAGAACTAATTTGGAAACACTTTCCGATAATTAAATCCCTTGAAAAATTTCATGGAACAGAATTCCTGAACGAGATTTCCAGCAGTATCTCTTAAAGAAGTGACCAAGAAGCCCAGTGTTGTGCAACCTTCCTAATAGGCTTTTTGTCTGGTTTACATGCGATAAAATAAACACTATTGATCTTTGCCCCATATCTGAGACTGCAGTTAAATCTTCATAAAATGCATCAGCAGCAGAATGGTAAACATTTAACCTTTACACATCTGAGTTACCCTGTAACTGAGAGAAATTGGGTCAGTGAACTGGTCCTCAGCAGGAAGAAGTTAATCACAATGTGGGGAAGCTAGCATTACCCCCAAGTCAAGGCTAGTGCAGAAAAGATTGAAAGACACTGCAGTTCTACCCAAACTTGGTAGGTGGCTCCTGCTGAGATTGCACAGTAAGGCCATGTAATCCTCTTGCGTTGCAAGACATACCATGTGTCACCTACTAAAGCATAAAGAAAGATACCTGTACAAAAAATAAAGCCCGGTAAAAACACCTAAAAACAAAAATACGTCAAAAATAAGCCAAAGCTCCCTACTCCCCAAACCTTTGTTTGAAGGACAGTAGCTCTAGCAGAGTGAAGTGAAAAACAGGCGAGAAGAATTTCTAGCATCATAGCTAAAGGGTAATCCTGGTGCTTAACAGCCTCTCACAACCCATACAGTAAACAGCCACTCTTATCCTCCGGCCGCTCAGGTTTCACAGCCAAGCTCCCGCTGCTAAGGGTCACCTCACTGGCACTAATCTGGCTCTAATCCGGTCCCCTTCTGTACACTTGCCCTGCGGATTAGCGCCAAGGTACCAGAGCCAGGCGCCCACTCATACCTGGCTTGGTACAACAACAACCTGGAAAACCATGTGGTGAAAAACATGCTGAAAATCACAACAATCTGTCAACCAGTTCTCCTACCTCAAAGATTTTTTTATCCTCCCTCAAAGATCTTTTTCTAAACAAACGCCACTGAAGTTCCAGAACAAGCTGCCAAAATCTAATCATTTCAAGGTCTTATCAGGACCTATTCACCTGCTACGTTTCATGACAATCCAACCTTCTTGAGTTATCGTGCTAAACCACATACACACATAACATGTACATGTACAAACCCTACCGAAAACATAACCTTCTTGGTGAAGATAACTAAAGGGCCTATCAACAGGTGAGAATGAAAAAAAAAACTGGGAGAAAAGGATCAGGTGCACCAGGTAAGGTTAGAGGTCAAGATCAAGAACAGAGCCAGCTTTTTAAGACAGACAGGTTGGGTGACAACATTGGGGTCTGGTGACGTCCTTCAAAAGTCTGAGTGTGGTCGGTAAACACAGCCTGAACAGTGGCTCTGAGTTTAGCTCTAATGCCGTCCCTCAGGCTCCTAAATGGACCTAATCACTGGTTCTTACGCTGGAAGTGGGGCAAGGGTTTAGCAAAGAGGCCACGTTCCACCATACACTGATTCAAGTCCTTGGTTCAAAGTAAAAATCAAGCAAGCTGGCAACATGTAAAAAGAGGACTGGGAGAACAACTTGAATCAGACTGGATTCACTCCCTGACATTGTTTGTACATTGTACCATGGTACACACTTTTCCCTGTGATCTTTGTGGATTTAGTGTGTTTTTTTCCAAATGTTCTGAAGAGGTTTTGTAAATTGTAGGGTTCACCTTCTTCCCAACGGGCTGTGTGATGTTAATCCTTACTGCACTGGCAAGCTGACTCAAAATGCCACCAGTGAGAGAAGGAATCCAGAGAAGGGTGCTTACTGCTTAGTTGTATGTGCTCAAGGGCAACAACCTCAGCCGAACTTTTCAAACGTCACTCACATTGAGCTGAAAGATGAAATACTGGTTCTTGGGTTCAGTTGACCCTTTTAGGATAGCCTGAAGGCCGTCTGAATTGAGGACTACCCTGTCATATATTTCATGACTACTTTGTTAAGAGTATGCTAATCTAATGTCACTTGGTTATGCCCCAAAGATGTCATTGATCATGTATATCCTTTCCCGGGGAGGTATACTGTATTCAGTTGTGTTTGTGTGTTCGCAGCTGTAACTCACGGTGGGGTTTGACGGATTTCTTTGATTTCAGTTTATGATAAGTTTTGGGGGTCAAAATGTCTTTTCTTTGTACCTGTACTTTCAATAAACTGTAATTATTGAAATTAAATATTTCAACAGCACTTTATGAGGAGTGGTATCAACACCTGTTGTGCACCAGATTATACCACATCAATTTCAGGGAGGGGGTTTCAAGTCTGTAAATTAGATTACTATGGGTATACATTGTGATACAACCCATCTTTAAGTTATATTACAGTAACATTGCTGTTTAAATGTGATGTCTGAAATGGTCAGCAGTTGTTGCAAACATTATGGATTATATACATTGTACTTCCCGGAGGTTTCTTGTTTCCTGTCCAAAATGGATGGAGAAATTGGCACAGAGTTCAACACTGGAGCTAAAAGGTGTCCTGGAGAATTTACGATGTAAATAAACACTTTAAATTTCAACTTGTTGGACGGCCCCCAATCCCACCCAGGGTGGCAGTGACACCCCTGTACGGTGCCAAGGCCTGGTCAGAGTCATTATCTGGCTGGTGCAGGTGGTATATAACATTCTGGGTAATAAAACGGAAGGACAGAAGTGCCTAGCCTCCATAGCAGGCTCCACCAGTCAGGCCGAAAATGTCTGCAAACCAAGCCTCTACGCTTCAGAAGTGCCTGGCCAAATAAGTGAGTACAGTTTAGGAGTTGCAAACTGCTTCTGCAGCCTGATAGAAGCTACTGAGAACCAACTAAATAACTTGGTGCGTCCTAATATAAAGGACAAACCTCCAGGCACCTGGGTGTTTAGGTCTGACAAAGTTGACAGGTGGCCCCAATTTGACAGGGACATTTTTGACTGTTTTCCAACCAAAGATGTTTTGGCACAAATGCCAACTCTGACAGCTTCGATATAGTAAAGATTAGCTAAAAGTTCCTGCACTGAGAGACTAATATTCTTTCCAAACAGGAGACAATGGCGTTTGGAAAATTGAGATGCAGAAGAACTCAGATTATCACAATTTGGAGATGCAACTTTGAAAGGAGGATGGAGGGACAGGTTTATCAGCATCTCCTATCAGAACCAGGATATCACTCTTTCTTGGTCTGACAGTCGAAGTGTAGACATGTACAGCGGCCTGATCCAACCCAGCTGGCTCTATGAGCAGGGGGAACTTGTAATTGTGACTGAAGCCATGTTTCCCACTAACTTCATCAACATCATCAGCAAGATGGCAGAACATACTGCACCTGCCTAAACCCATGATTTTTCACGGTTTTCAAAAGCCCAATGGTTTTCATTGGAAGTATGGTCAACATTGCATCACAACTTTGCCCGTTACGTAAGATATCTTATCTGACAAAATATATGATCTTAAACGAGACGTTCTGTCAAAGTGCTATGCACAATTCATTACGGGTCTGTTGACCTTGGATGCTCCGTGAAGCAATGGCCCGAAAAAACCTGTAGCTGACAGCTAACCCTTTAAGTGTTACAAGTTTTGAAAATACCGACAAACTCTGCTGCTCTAACAGTTGAGTTGAAGCGCTGCCAACTTTGCAGACCTCTGCCCCCCTCCCCCCAACACAGGTGCAGCCACAAGACCACATGATTTACGAGGCCACGGTCCTAACCAGAAGGAAACCATGCCAAAACATGCAGCACTCCTGTGTACACCACAAGCCCCTGCCTTCATGCCACATCTGCCAGGTAATCTGACGCTGCTTCAAACAGCACAACACCATTCAACAACAGGACTCGTTCTGCCCACCATACCAAGCACATTTGGTGCTTCTTGGATCTTGTAAGGATGATGCTGTTGACTACTGCACTACAGAAATTTACAAAGATGATGGAGTCTGACGTAAATGAATTTACAGTAAACTGGAAGATAAAAATAAGCGTCGGAGGGGAAAGAATATCTTGGTGCTAACAGTTTCAGGAAGTAGGTAGAATCAAGTTCCTCCGAGCAATTTGTCTTTGAATCGACCTATTGGAGACTTTACCAAACGTAATTTAGCTTGCAAGTCTCTTTCGCACTTTCAAATGCATCCCCCTCAAACTCTTTTTCAGTATCATTGTTGTTCCCATTGGTACAGTACATAAATATAAGACTACATCTCACCTGGGATTGGGAGTTGTCTCTTTTCCTCTTCTGTACTTTACTGCGTGGTTTGCTCTCGGACGAGGACCCCGACTTTTTGCTATCGCCTTGCCTGGACGCATCCTTCCTGGCGGGTATTCTATCAAGTAACGAAAGGTCAATGCTAACTATCAAAGACTTCGGAATGCCGTTGTTGCCATAGGTGATTTTGGGCACAGTGGAAGCAAGGTCCCCTTCGATAGGAGACAAGAGAGGTTCGTTCAGAGGGGACAGGAGGGAGTTATCGCTGGATAAAACATCCACAGAGAGCGCTTTTTCGTGGCTGCTGCTACTCGAGGCGGCAGCCTTTTTCCCACTGTCCCTTGCCTTTGGTTTGCTAGTGTTGTTCAGTTTGGCCCGTGGAGAGGGGCTCGCTTTCACTGACGCGCTCCCCTTCTCCGGAGAGATATTAACCACGTCCACCTCCAAGTCTGATTCACTGTCGGAGTCGATAAACTCCTTTGACTTGACCTTACTACTGGTCTGTGGGGTCCGTTTGCCTTTCTTGTCACTCGACTTCTTTCCTTGCACCGTCTTGGTTGTCCTTTCCGTCTTAGGGCTGGGCTCGGCCCAGTTCGTTTTGTTACTAGGGGTGGTCTGGCCAGCTTTGCTACTGTTTGCCTTCGTCTTTTCGCTACTCTCAGCCTTCGCATTAGATGCAGAGGCGGGCTTCTCCGCCGGCTTTTTGTCCACACCTTTTCTTGGAGTTCTGTTTGTGGCAGTTTTGGAAGAATTGCGACTTGCAGCTGAGGGTGACTTCCCCACGGAAGATTTCTTGGACGCTTCTTTGTTGCTACTACTTGTCAACGGTTCGGGACCCCCTTGGTTCCCCTTCTTGCTTATCTTCATGCGCAACCCGTTAATTTTGGTGGCGCTGTAGTTATCCTTGTGATCGGGATCCAACTCCTTGGAAGGATCCAGCGGTTGTAAGATGTCGTTGACGTCGAAGCCGTGACTGTCAGAGGACGTGATGAACCCTGCAGAGCTGAGCGGTCCCTCGTCGCCGCCAAATAATCCCATGGGCAACGCGGAGGAGTTCTGGGAGCTGGGCGTGGACGTTCCCAGCAGAGGGAAGGAGTTCCCCGGGGAGTCTCTCTTCACCGGGTTGACGAAGGAAGCCAGCCCCCAGTTGGTCGTATCGCTCTCCTGCTGCAAGGTGAGAGAAAACATTGCATCAGACTGTTTATTTATAAGCCTCAGGCTTGTGACCATACAGAAATACATCAATTACTTAAAAAAGACATTCAAACAAAACTACGATACCAGCACATTGGCAGAACGCAGTGCACCTGTGCGAAACAGGGATTTTGAATCAGAATTTTGCCTGTTGCAGATATCTTTTCCGACACAACATTTCAATACTATACACTATACCCTTAAATATGCGAAAACGACCTTAGAAAAGACATTTTGATACAATGCACTATATATTACGGGTTTCACAAAGACACAGTATGTTTTTGTGACATTCTACCTATATTCATACCTATGAACTAACTCAGTTGGCATAGTGCTGCCATCAAGTGCTGGTGCAGAAATTCAAAGTGGGCACTTTTTGCCTAACTACTCCTTCCTGTCATAACCTTCACCTTGTAAACAAACTTCTGCCTAACAACAAACAAATATACTGACAGTCTAAACATGTAGCACAATAAAAATGGAGCAGACGTTTAAAAACAACACAGTAAGAATTCCATTCACAACAAACAAATTTACTGATAGTCAAAACATGTGTGATAAAAATGGAACAAACGTTTAAAAATAACACGGTAAGAACGCCAATTGTTTGGCTCTTCTGTGTATTTTGTTCACAGTAACTACACCACTATGTTACCATACACACATGACAGTTGTGAAGAGGACACTGACAATAACCTGCATGAGTTACCTGTTGACACAGGTGTGTTCAGGTTAACTACACCTGTTGTTACAGTGAATACCTGACAGGTGGACAACCTGGGAGACAATGTCACAGTGTCAGCAGAAGTACTAGCCTTGTAACCTGTATTGTATTGTGCATAGTACTTCGGCAGAACATTCACTGCTGCCATGTCTACTAAGAAATAAACCATTTTTGATTGATTGATGTTGTTGTTTGAGATAAGCTGTTGGTGTTCACTGGTCTGCTGTTTAACAACTGTCAACAACAAGCCAAGAAGTGACAAATGCTTTGAAATAAGCAAACCTGCAGCACGAAAAAGGGATCCAAGGGGATCAAAAAACCTCTGTTTTCAAACATAAACCTCTATTTCCAAACTATGCCTGCGTCAAATAGTTTTCAAATATTGTGTCGAAAATGATATCATCAGCCACAGGCAAAATTCTGATGCAGCGTCAACCAAACATCCAACGAAAACTATTAAAAATCCAGGTTTTAGAAACAGTTATGTATGTTCTACTGACGTGCTGATTTGATACAACTGTATCACACATGACTTTCCTGTGACAATTTTCTCTGCTGCCTGGTTTGATAAGTAAGGATTTCCGACTACCCTGGATCAAATTATCACCATTCCAACCTGTCAGGGCGCCGACTCAGGGTTTCCAAGTAATCGGATAAACTAGATTTCCAGAAATAACAACTCTAAAATCGACACCCAAAGTGTTCAAAAATGGGAACAGTTACTGATAAGAGGTGATAGATAATTAAGAATGCAGGTCATGTCCCTAAAACCACTCTCTAGAAAATTTACCATTCACCTAAAGTCAACCATTGGGTCTGGCTTGTATCAGGCCAAACCGATTCAATTCCTCAGTTCTCAGATATTACAAAGCAAAAACCAGAGGCAGTGTTCTAAGCCAGCATCCATCTTTCTATCATTTGATGGAATATTGCCACATTTAGACAAAAACTTTGACCAATCTGTCATCTTTGACAGACAAAAAACAGGGTGTAAAGATAACTACGCTTAGTCTACCAGCAAAATTTGCCCCTCAAAATGCAGGAGATATCATTTCAAAGGGTCAAAATTCGTTGGGAAGCATGTCCCATGGCCCAGGACCACCCTAGGATTTTCGTGCCTCAACGTCAAACAAAACTGAGATGACGGAAAAAAAAATTCAGGCTGGCCAGAACTTTCAACATGTACAGATTACGTTTTTATTTTCATCTTTCACTTTGTCAAAATCCCAGAAACAACAAGTTAGCTTAGTATGGCCTTATCCTTGTAAAGTCAACTATCAAATCTGCTGTACATCATTTTCCAGCCACTACTGACAGCTCCTGGGGGCCAGGGGTCCCAACTCCTGGGGGTCATGGGTCATAGCACCTGGGGTCATGGGTCACAGCACCTGGAGGTCATGGGTCATAGCCCTGGCATCCCTGGCAGTCACCCTAACCCTCCCTCTGCCAGATAAACTTGCAATAACATCCCTGGTCTAACACTGCATGGGAATCAGGTTACCTTCCTAACTGGGCTATCAGTTAATGGGTTAAACCAGGGGTCAGTGACCTCATTACAGATATGGGCAGCTGTGGGGACAGAATGGCTCAACACCTCAGGCCACACTGGGTTAATTTGTTACTTCTTGGACTTACAAAAGGAACAGGATGAAACAGAAAATGAAACAGAGTCTGCTGGGAAAACACTAAACCTTCAGCACACAACTTCGAGGAGCGAGTAGACTTTTTAGTATTTCTAAATTATCCTTTTGCCAAAGTTTTACTGTAAAAAGTTGAGGTAAGGATGTGGTATGGTCAAATAAGTTTGAAATCCCTGTTGAAGTTGTAAGTTTGAAACTACTGGTAGTAGTGATAGTAGTGATACTAGTAGTAGAAGTAGTAATACTTGCAATAGTAGTAGGTGCTTGGAAAATAAGAAGACGTAACATCTAATAATATGTTTTCCTTCTGCTAAGGCTGACACGTAAACAAACCTTGGGAGGCGATGCAGGCGGCGGTGCGTCCTGAACGCTCTCGTCGCTGGAGGACGATCCGTCGCTGTCGCTGTCCGAGGAGTCCTCGGAGCCGCTGGAGGAACTGCTGCTGCCCGAACTCAACATTGGGGTCCGTCTGGCCGGAGACCTGTGCAGAAATGGAACAGGAGAGGATTGAAACTTAGCATTAGATGGAGCACTATAGGTTTGTCCACTGTAGACTGTATTCAACTATAATATAAGTTCATCAGGTTCGTAGAACATTGGATATGGGGGTACATATTTGGCCACCTTTGGGATTGTGTTCTCGCCGTTAAAGTGCCACTTACATTGTACATCAGCTACAAATAGTGGCGAGAAGCAGAACTCTAGTTAGAAGCTCCGAGGAAGGTGTCTGGTAGACATCGAAATGTCAGCACGTGAGATAGTACAGGTTGTGTAAGAGGAAAATCCCCATATCCTACATTATAGAATTACAACATGGATGACCTAAACCCGATATATACATGCAGGCAAACCTGATGTATGAATACTGTGCATGCTGTGAAACTGTGTAATTGTCCTCCTTGTAAATCGGCTTGCTCTTACGTACGTCAAGAATGTACGTACGTTCAGGTTGTACATTACCTTGAGGGCTGGCTTATGATCTGAACATACAGACTTTATGTACGTCAAAGCAGCCTGATTTTCACGCAGGAAACATTTGACGTACACAGTTTTTCATATGCTTGTGGGCTTTTGTGTATCTAGATTTGCAAGCTCCATGCGGCCAGAAAGACGTCACTGTTAACAAAATGAATGCAGTTGAACTACAGTTAATCCAAATTAAGTCTATAGTTTATATAAGTATAAAACAATTATGCCGACAATAAGTCTGGAGTGTGTTGTAATGCAGTTTTGACCCTGGTTGACACAAATGCATCATGACTCATATCATACATGAAAACAACCACCACTATCAAAGGCACGATTGTATCTTGTACACCTCCCAATGATTACAAAAATTTCAATCTGCATCGTAAATCTCACACCATTGCAGGCAATGCATTGATAATCCTGTAACTGCCCCTCTGGCTATGTTTTGTACGAGTGATTAAAAGGCTGTTCTCTTGACCTGGATAAAGGCCCTCATCGGGGATAATCATACCTCTAGCATACCAGACACATAACACTGTTATTAACCAGAGTTAATTACACCAGAATTAAGGACTACAGGTACGAAAACCACACACATATTCACACACCTAACCACCCACTCTCACAATCACTCTCACATCTCTCTCTGCATATACATGTATACAATGTATGTCCATTCGTTCAACACATCCTAAAAGTACTGATAGCTACATGTACTCATATCATATAGTCTACCATAAAACTAATATTAATTCTGTGCATGTATGATACTGAAAATTAATTGCAGATGGTACCAGCAGATAGTTTGGTCGGGATCTATCAGCGATTCTAGCTACCAGATCTCTACCGGCTACCCTGTATCTTCTTTCATGGCTGACTTGAGACCTTGTGATCTTGCTGTTCAACTTTTGTTGGCCCCTGATCCACTGTGATTATAGCCCGAACCTCCCAGGGCTTCCATAGCTGAGGCCATAGAGTATTATAAGAGCTCATGCTAGTCAGTCTTGCCTGACTAAATGCCACATGTCAGTAGGACAAGGTTCTTGCCTCCAGGGCTTGTGTGATATATAATCTCCAGGCAGATTTTTTCGTGGCTATAAAGACAGTATCCATTTGCCAGGTAGTTACAATCTGAAAATTTTACGAAAAAGAAAGCTGGATCCCAAAAGTAAGGTTTGTTTGTTTTACTTTGATCTCCATTAGTGTTACAATTAACTTAACACTATTCTTCCTGGAGTCCGCTACAATACAATACAATAAAGTCAAATAAAAGCAAAGAACAAAACCTTTGCAATTAATCAGTGGTAAACAAAAGATAAACAAAATTGAGATAAACTTAGAAGAGAGTAAAATAGACATGATATGGGGATTGTATCGTATACAAGAGTATCCAAAAGTAATAATAATTGATAAGATATAAATAACTTTATTTAAGTGAGGTTAAGAACTGATTAAAATATATGTATAGATAAGATGCAATCAAAAATGGTATAGCCTAAACCTCTGCTTGTAGAGTAGGTGTGACATGACCAAGGGCACACATATAATGCCTCACGGTTCACCGGACTAACAGCCTTTGATTAACAGCCAATTCCACAGCCTTTACTTCACCCCACCAACACAAATAAAAACACATCCTCCCTACAACAACATGGCCCAGGAAATTCCTGGCATGTCTGCTAGTGGAAGACTGACTGCGGTGGGGGGGAGAGAAAGGCTCCTGTCATGTCCTACACCCCATTTGTAAACAGCAGTCTGTTTTGCATATCAAAATACAGACTCAAAAGGGAGCAACGCTTTCCCGCATGATTATGGAAGGGGCTAACGAGCTGACGATTTGACGGAAGATTTCTGTCAGGATTTTGTGCAGAATATGACACAAGCAGCAGACAAAAAGCTTGCCAGATCTAAGAATTGATAAGAACCTAAGACCATTTATTGAAAATGTCTGCTGACATGCTACAGGGATGTTTTGATGACATACATATACTCGAGGCATTATTGAAATCACTCAACAATTTCGTTCCAAAGGACTCAGAAGTGGTTGTCGAATTTTTTGGGAAAGGCTCACCTCAGAAGACCGTACATTCCAGGGCAGTTGCAGGGGAAGTCAACAGACACTTCCCAGACACAAAGAGCCTGCATATGTCCACAGAGCAACCAGCTAAACCTCCACAAACATTACCGAGGGATATCCCTTACCGTGGGACCGACCTGCGATAAGTACCGGCCGCAGGAACGCCGACGTTTTTTTCTCACACCTCGGGCCGACCAGTTGACTGATTGGTAGCGGCTTGCGTTTGTGGACAGGCAACCCACCATAGAGAGGGACAAAGGAGGTCACCACAACCTTTTACATCCCAGAGGCTCGGCTAAATACACAACATAAATAACCCACTAACTCCCCACATATTCCCACAGCTCGCTGGCCCCCTATTTTGCACAGAACAAAGACAGGAACACAAGTACACACCTCCACATGGTGGGATACACACAGACGTGCATGGAGAGAGTTTTGTGTGGGGATCTCTCAGTGGCCTCTGACTGCCAAGTCTCACTGTTTGTGTCTGCCTGGTGCCTCAGTCGGATAAGCAAATCCCGTGGGATGCCACAGGCATGGAAACAATTTGGGAAATGCCAGGATAGACTGGGGAAAGGACTGCTTCTAAAAATCAAGCAGCTGATTTCATTTCAAAAACTCTTAGTAGTTTTCCTCTTACTGGCTAATATTGACTTTGAGGTTCTTACTTTATTATTCTGACTAAAGATTATTTTGCATAAAAGCTAAAGTCTGGTGCTTGATACAATACAGCAACCTCAAATCTATTAAAAAAATACAGCAGATCTACCTGTTTTTGCTTTTCATAGCTCATGAATGAGGTTAAGTGAAGTTTATATTTAACAACAACCACTTAATATGTAAATGCTAGGGACACAGTAGTTCAAAGTTAATACAGACTTGCTTTCCTGCCTTTAAATCCATCAAAAGGTCAATGACCCAAGGACCCAGTTATACAGCAATTATGTTGTATTCAACATATTGATTTTTCCTGTCATATAAAAATAGCCAATTAAAATCAATCTCCTTTTCTGCAAGCATACAAATCTCCTACACTGACCTACTTTAGGTGGATAGACAGATGCATGTTTTATTGGTACACATGTACCTCCCAAATAGAGTGATGGATGTGGGGGGTAAACAATTGGCTGCTTCCAGTCTTGTTTTGGGTCAAAGTGGTCTATTTTATTCATTGGATCATTTGGTCTTGATATGTGCATATGATTATGACTTTGCAAGTAGGCTTATTTCACTTGACTTCGCTGAGTCCCTGTACTTTGGTTGTCAATAATTTTTGTCAAGTTTATGCAGCTAGGTTTACCATGACTCCACGGAAGTTTGTGTCTAACAAAGCAATTTCTGACTCTAAGGGTCTGCATGGGGGATCCTGGCAAAGCTCAAGGGTAAATTTAGGAGTGTCATTATGATTTTCAGGCAATATGGCATTCAACTACATGATACGAAGAATTTTTCAGTAACTCCAGTACAACAAGTAATGTGCTTGGAATTAAAGTGACCAATTATGCTTCGTAATGAATTTACCCAGACAACGCTTGTGATCCTCTACAATTAACAGTGGATTAAAATGGCCTACACTTAGACAGAAAAAGACCCTCATTTCCTAATGCGTTTCTGTAAACACGGTTAACTATTGGGCACCACCATAAGAACCAGACAGAGGTGTAGTATGTACATACCAGGCAGGGAATCCCCTAAATAAAGCTAATTACTTTCTAATGAGGTGACAACTGGTACTGGTGGGGGAGGCAATCAGCTGGATTAGGACCTGCTCATGTGATTCAGGGGCTGGAAAAGTACTCAGTCTGGTCTTCAGAGTAGGTCAGGAATAGCATGGCAAAGTCGGGCCAAAGTGTTCTAGCTAGCCAAATTTTTTTCCATCATATTTATTTTGTTTAGCGTAAGTAACATCATGTTAAGTGCCGAAGGCACAAGTGACAAGGCATTGTGTTTATTGAGGCTGAAATGCTATTTCCTGCATTTCGAAGGGTAAATTTGCTGTAAGATTATCTTAATTTGATGACTCTTACCGTATCATAACTTGCCAATTTTTGTCCATCAAAGACGGCGGATTGTGCAAATTGTTTGCCTGTCATAAGCTGCAAAGTTCCATCAAAATCAAATGACAGAAAGACAGACGCTGGCTAAATATGTATGTCTGAGACTCGATGACATAACTATAGTGAACTTAGCTTGGTCCTAAGAGTAGGTCATGAGTCTGAGTATTTAGAAGGTCATACATAACTCCCAATCCTCCATCCCATCTGTATGACAGCCCTCCCAGCCCAGGGCACACACAAGGTCACAGGGTCAACCTTGTCAATCTCTTTCCCATTCCCCTGCAAGAATGGACTCCTCAGTAAGCTGATTAGGCTGTACTTTTCTCAGCATTAGTATTCAGGTACATCCAAAAACATAACACAAACTTTAGGATT